ACGCCCAGATCTACGTACAGAGCCTCTATACCGAGAATTTCGCTTTTCCTGCTGTGGGGTATAGCGGCTGCTTGAACTGGAGTCTCGAATAACGGACCGCCGATCGTGACGCTTCATTTTCCGACTTCGGTGCTTTGTATGGCGATCGCTTCTACGCCTTTCCGCATCCCTTTCTAGTTGTGCAATTCTACGCAAAGCATCCTCCATTATTGTTTGTGAAGAATTCATTTCTTTGCATAAAATTTGTGCATAAATTTTCAATCTTTGTTTGAGTAATAAAAAACGCGTGTGATTTGATCTACACAACAAAACGTAATGAAGAACAAGATGGCTGTCGGGTAAGGGTTGCCATCTGGTACGAAACTAAAAAATTCTTTTAGAATTGTGAAATGTTGTGGTTAGATCTAGCAACTGACGTTACTACAAGTATTGATATCGAGGACGAGACAGTGTGGTATAATTATATTTTATCATATTTTCTTGCCATGGAACCTTTCCTGGACCGCCGAATTAGTCTGCAAATGTATCCCGCAGGTGTTTAGCTTTTCTTGAATAAGTATTTGAGGATGAAGAAGTAGTTATGTCTTCCATTCCAGCCGCAGGAACAGTTCGCCAACTACCTTGCGCGATTTGGCCTGTGTTTAGATTTTCTTCATCGACCTTATCATACCTTGACCGTGCACATATAATTTATCTCTTCGAAGCCAGTTGTGAGTTGCACAAGCAGTCCTAATTATGGAGTCAGTTTTTTGTAAAGAAACAGATATTGGCTTTCTAAATACACGGAATCGATTAGTCAGTATCCCGAAAGCATTTTCGACAATCCGACGAGCTCGCGACAATCTGTAATTAAACACTTTTTCTTTATGGGACAGTGCTTCATGCCTGGAGTACGGTTTTAAAATTTTGGTTGTAAGTGGAAAAGCGTCGTCTGCAACAAAAACTGCATTTTCAGGAAGATCTAAATAGTTTTGCTCTATGGATCTATAAAATGGTGATTTTTTTAAAATGTAGGAGTCATTCATCCTTCCGTTAGTCCGACATCTATATATAAAAAACGGTAATGCGCATCTACAGCAGCAAATAGAACGACACTATATGTGCCTTTATAATTAAAAAAGTCGGAGGCTCCGCGTGGTGGATTTTGTATGAGGACGTGCTTCCCATCCAGAGCTCCACAACAGTGAGGAAACTGCCAGATATCAGCAAAATCGTTTTGAATTTTAGACCATTGTTCTTTTGATGTTGGTACCTTCAATGCAAAACAAGGTCATATTCTATAACTTTCCTAAACCGCTAACCATTTTACCTGAATATACTTGTTCAAAACCTCGTATATAGCGTCGAGTACATCCTTCAAAAATAGGGAAATGGTGCTCTCTGGTACTCGAAATAGTTCCGCTAAAGTTGGGTAATTGTCACCACTTGCCAAAAATTTTAACGTAACTTGCAATTTAATTATTGGTGAGAGCGCTGCACGCATACTTGTATCCTGTTTTTTTATTAAAGGTGCACATTTTAGGAGAAGATAATTGAACTGTTCGTTGGTCATTCTTAAACGCTGTTGAAAGTTTTTCGGGTCGTCTAAGGCAAGCTCCTTGTACAAATTATCAGAAGCACCCAAAAATTCACGCTGACGAACCCATTTCCTTACCCATACTCTACGTTTCCTCTTTACCACTTCCTTGCGTAGGTTATTGATTAAATCTTTTATAATTTCTTTAGCAATTATGTTGATGCTAAGTTTTAAAATTTTTCTTCTATTCATATTTAACCAAAATTTTAAAAAGTCAACATTGACATTCGAACTCGTTCAACTTTTGTCGCCCGTGTAAATGCACGTGTGTTATCAACTTTTCAGGCAACTTCTCAGGCGTTGTTGAATCGCTTAGAAAATCGCCTCATGTAAATGCTGCTTAACGATATTCCTTTCAACTATCGTAAATGAAAGATTCACTGCCACAAACTGAACGACATATAAGTCATATTGCTATCGTTTCCCCATTCATTTGCGAGAGTTTTTCCGGGTTAAATCTCGCATTTCACTCGCATGTATTATCATTTGCGAGCATTTGAACCGCTGGGTCCTTCTATACCCTTTTTGTTAGAGTATGAGTAGTTAACATATTTGAAGAAAACTTCACAGTGAAGCAAACTGAATTGCGATTAGGGACACGATATCGAACCGAAAGTATCGATATGGTATTCA